TGTAGCTGCCGTTTCTTTTGTAACGGCCGTCGGGTTCTGCTACTTTGTAAAGGCCGGCCGGTTCTGCTGCTCCGGTCGGCAGGTCAGGGTCTAGCAAGAGAGAATGGGGACGGAGGAAGGGGAAAAAAGGGGCGAGAGACGCAAAAGATAGATACAAGCCAGAGTCCGGTGGAGTCTCTTCAAGTCTTCTTTATTCTCCTATCTTCTTACTATATTCTCACTCCTTCAGTCTCCTGACACCTCTCACTTTCTCACTCCTTCCTCTACTTTCTACCTCCTACTACCTCCTACTACTTACTACCTCCTACTTTCTACCTCTACCTCCTCGACTCCTCTACTCCTCTACTCCTACTTCCTATCTCTTCAATAGAAAAGAAATCTGGGTATTTATACCCTTTACCACGTGACTTGCCCTCGTGGACAATCTCAACTGAAGCCACTACGTCACGTGCCTTGTAGCCATAGATACCAAGAACACCTGACAGCTGGGGGCACTAAACAGTGTAACAAGATGTTTATCAGAGTGCGCTCAGCTATTGCAGGCTGTTGAAACAAGTCTCTTGTCAGGGTATATGGCTCGAGATGGCTGTAAAGATGATAGCCACTTTCGGCTAAGAGTCGGCTCCCAACACGTTTGCCTTGGTAAATCCCTCTTGTTCTGAAAACCTTCAAGGTCCGTTTCCTTTGTACTGCTGTGTATTTTTACATTTTTGAGACATCTCAGCCAATTCTTTTCATTTCTTCTGTCTGTGGGTATTTCCTCACTGGTTAGTTTGTTTTCTGTCATATATATTGTTGAACTTTTCCTTTTCCCCCTGCAAGATTGTATTGTTCTTTTTATGATTGTCTTTTTTTTTTATCGATACCTTAATCACTGTTTTCATCGTTATTTCTTTCATTTATTTTTATTTTTCTAACTCTCTGAGGGCAAAACTTGCTTTTGATTTTCCTTTCACTTGTTTAGAAACCAGGAGCTGAAAAGTATTTTTTTTTACTGCTGGGAAGCCTGATGCTTTTGCAGTGTGCTCTAAAGTCATCTTTAATAGTCATTCTTTCAAATTGGTTTTTATGGTTCTCTAACGAAGAGTTACTTCAAATAGAATATTTTCCAAACTTTTCTATATTTTCAATGATACATTACTCTACTTTTGTTTTTATTTACTAAATACTTTGTTATTGTTTGGAGCTCAAATTAAAATTTGTGTAATTTGTAAATGTCTGTGGATCATGGAAAATGCTTGCACCTTACTTTCAGCCAAAAGACTGTCAGATGTGTCTGTGCAACAGTTAACTTTCTGCTACTGTGACAAAATACCTGTAAACATGAACTTCAAAGAGGGAAGGTTTATTTGGGTGGGCTCATGGTTGCAGATGTTTCAGTACATAATTGGCCAGCTCCGTTGTGTTTAGGCCTTTCAAAAGGCAGAAACTTCATGGTAGACTGTCAGGGTAAAAGAATACTGTTCTCTGGCTGACAACCAGGAATCCAAGAGAGTCAGAGTAGAAAGTTCTGAAGACAAGAGATATACCCTTTAAAGATGAGCCCCCAGTATCCCACTTCCTTTAAGTCCATTCATCTATGAACTCATCAGGCCTGAGTCCATTGTACCAACCTCTTAGAAATCTACCTCATGGTTCTGCTAAAACTCTTATCTGACTCCTTGGTGACATTACTTAGAAATGCCTGGTGTTGAGACAGTATTTAAGTTTTTGACAGCTACTAATTTATTGTCAATGTTCATTACAATTACAGTGTGCCAGCTAGAACAAATTCTCTCCATGTTTCTCAAAGCCTGACTTCAAATATGGCTACCTCCATGGCAAGAGTAATTCTTTAAGTAGTTCTTTTTGTTGGCTTATATGTATTTTTTTGTCATTTGGCCTCATGGTAAACCCTTTAGGTTGGGACTATTGTCCCACACTTAATAGGTGGAAATTTGTTAAATAGCAAAGGTCAGGGTCCTTCCTGGGACCATACACCCAACAGGAACAAAGCAGGATTCATGCACAGACTGGTAGCCATTATCCTGAGTGAGCTTCTTCCTACAAAAAAAAGAAAAAAAGAAAAAAGAAAAAAAAGTAGGAGTGTAATCTGTTAATGAACATAAGATATGTTCTTCTTCTTCCTCTGGACATGACAAAGATTGAACTTCCGCTTCATCTTTTTAAAAGCTACCCCCATCAACAGTTAGACAATCCAACTGCTTATCCCATAGTGCTTGTATTAAATAGTACTTTTTAATGCCCTGAAGACTATTTTGGACAAATAATTATGCTGTGTTGTTGTCTAATAACTGGCTCTTTTTAGTCTACTTTTCACCACAGACCAAGCATTAGGACTACAAACACAGAAGCACTTATTCCTGTTGTGTATGCCTTTAAGTAATGTTAGGGGACAAAGCCACATCAGTAAGTTTGATTTTCCTGTTGGACACTGCTTACCACTGGGGGTTCAGTGGCTAGAAGAAGGCCACAGGTAGCCATAGGAAAACCATGGGGAACATAGCCATTCTCACTGTGATGTTGGCTCAAGGCCACAGGACACATGGACTGCTGCCTAGTTTTCCCTGGGGAACCGATTGCTGCCCAGTGAAACTTTCTTTGGGACAGCATGAGCTTTTGCATTCAGAGGGAATGACTGTTCCCTGGAAGCCACCACTACTTGCATGTCTTTTGTTTAGAGAAGCAGGCCCCCCAGGACTTATTACACAATGTAATGGTAATCATTAAGATAAAAATAAGTGTCCTAAGCAGTAGCTGGGGTTGTTAATAGAAGCCGAGCAGCTCCACACACTGTTCTTTTGTTCACTGTGACCTTCTGTTTTTCTAGGGTGACAGAGAAGCAGAGCTGGGGCTGCCATTTTCTCCTCTGTGTGACAGAAAGTCAACCATGGTTGCTCAGTCACAAGTGGGTAGGTATTTGCCAGCTGATTGGAAGGACCATCTGATGGTACAGAGATGTAGTGGTCAGGGCCACTGGGCTTGGGGATCCCAGCTGGGACTCTGGCTCTCTGTTGCCAGCCTCTGGCAGGGTAGAGTCCTGCCTTTCTCTCTGGACTGTGACTGGTTTTGGAAAAGATTACACAGAGACACTCTGGGGTCCCCATCATTCCTGCCAAAAGGAAAGGGAGCTTCAACTTCCCAAGGAGATGTCTGTGCATACCATAGTTAGGAAACCCATTTTGCTTCAGCTGCCTCTGTGCCTCAGTAGGAGAAGTCATCTCACCACCATGCTTCTTCTGTCCATGCTCAGGACTGTCCTCCTTCCAGGGGGATCCTTTCAAATTGTTTTGGTTTCTTTACTCTTTTTCTTCCATACAAAAGAAAGGAAGGAAGGAAGGAAGGGAGGAGGGAGGGAGGGAGGGAGGGAAGGAAGGAAGGAGGGAAGGAAAGAAGGAAGGAAGGAAGGAAGAAAAGAAGAAGAGAAGGAGAGAAGGAGAGAAGGAGAGAAGGAGAGAAGGAGAGAAGGAAGGGAAATGGAAAGGAAATTTAAAGAAAAACAGAATCACTATAATGCATGCGTTACCAAAACCCTCAGCTGTTGGAGAGGAAACCAGTGTCACATATAAAGTAAATGGCATAAGTGAATTCTTCTTTCCAAGAGTCTGTTATCACACACACACACACACACACACACACACACACATCAATTTAATAAAGAAGTACTGCTTTTTCTACTTATGAGAGCAGAGATAGGGTCTCATGTACTCTAGGCTAGGCATAAATAGACCATTTAGCTAACTTTAATCTTGAGCCCAAGCTGATCATGAACTGACTGCAAGGATCGTGGCCTCCTGACCTCCCTGTCTTTGGATCCCAGATGCTAGGATTGAACATGTGTGCCACCATGCCTGGCCTCTGCTTCAACTTCACATGACCATTCACTGTTTTATTGGTTTCATCATATGTCTTGGGTTCCTGTTAGGTACTGGGTACTGCTAAGATTATAATAGATGCTATAAAGTAAAAACAAAACAAAACAGGAACCTAAGTATACATGGTACTTGCTCTCAAAGATATTATTAAACCAGTATTAGACAGAGGGTGAGATGTTAGGGAAACAAAATGTGCTTAGAGAATTATGGGTGTTAAGGGTGAGTTCTTAACATTTTACAATGAAGGACAAAGACAGTGTACAAGCATTTGGACATAGGTGGTCCACACAGATTGAGTAACAAGTCGTATCTGAGCTATATCTGAGGAAGTATTCAACCAGTGTCTAGGTAGATTGTAATACATGCTAGCAGTGGCTTAGTGGTGGAAAAATGACATTGCAGTTGGGAGATGGGGAAAGCAGGGAGATTTAAGCTGCTCAGTGAATTCCCAGTAGCTCCAGTGTGGTGGGAACAGTGGGTAGGGAGTTCAATACAGAGAGAGACATTATAGAGAGAATCAGGCAAGAATTTTTACATCGTGTCAAGAATAGCACATCCTTATACTTTCCTGTAGGTAATAGGGGCATATCCAAAGAATTCTGTGGATCATCCAATACTAGAGTTTGAGCTCACCATTAAATGGTAGTGATCTGCCAGACAAATGTTGTTACTTGATCAGATGAACGGCTCTTCTTTTGTGGGTTACATTACAGGATGCTTAGCATCCTTCTCTGCTGAGTTTCACCGACACCAGTAGCACTATCTCCTTAGTAACTGTGAAAACTAAATATTCATTTCTGCATTTCCAGATACCCACTCAGAGGAGTGGGCCGTGTCCCCCTTGGTTGGTATTTAATGTCCTTCCTTACATGTGGCTATGATGAGTTAGTGCCAGTGTGAGTTTATTTTTACTCAGTGAGTCACAAATACTCATCTAGTTTTTTTTTCTTTTTTTTTTTTTGGTGTGTGTGTGTGTGTGTGTGTGTGTGTGTGTGTGTGTGTGTGTAGTTGTTAAGATCATCACTTTATGCCAGTTTTTACTACCTCCTCAGTATGGCCTCTAAGGTACCATTTCCTTAATGACTGTAACCCAGTTTCTAGTCCCTTTCTTCTAGCTCTTCCCATCTGGTTCTGCCTTCTATATCTCAAGTCCGCATCTTGCCGTCCATCCTCTGCCTTCTTTCCTTTCTTCTGCTTTGCTACTGGAGCCTCCTGGAGGAATCCCTCTAGAGCCACACTGTCTGTTGTGCTGTGCTATGTGTGCCTTTGGTACCCAGGTTACAATAGCTCTGGCTCTCAGTTTCTTACTTTTTGTTTGAGCTGCTGCAATCACTTCTAACAAGATTTCCTGCCTCAGTCTTTCCTGCTAACTGCCTCTCCATGTCTCTCGTTGCACGAACCATATCCAAGAAAACTTGATCACAAAGATGCATGGACCTCTTCAGGTCAGCCTAGTATTTCTCTAATTCTAAACCTAAATTCTAATTCTAATTCTCTAAACCTAAATTCTAATTCTAATTCTCTTCAGGCCAGCCCAGTATTCCTCTAATTCTAAACCCCAGGAGCTTCCTTCCCTAAATATGGATAACTGACCTCCTCAACCCCCTTTTTCTCCCCAAGTCCAAAGCATTCTTTACACCTAGTCATTCCTCAGACAACTCTTGCATGTCTTCCTACCTCGGAAATGTCCTCTACCCAGAGTGAATAGCCACATGTCTCTCTCTACCCATCCTTCAGAACTCAGCTCAAACATCCCAACCACCACACAACTGTTCACTGATCTCTATGGGAGCAAAATGTCTCCTCTTCATGCTCTTCTATTTCTGTCCCAGCATCCTTCTTTTGGGCTTCTCCTTTGGTCCTGCAGAAACTCTAGGGGTCATTTTTGTGCCCACTAAATCTTACCTATAAATTCCCTGAGGGCTGCTTTATTGAATTTTTCGTCTTCAGCTTTTTACAAAACACATCACAGTGCTTATTACGTAGCAGGTGTTAAATTGTATTTTTAAGCATTCAATTGAATCACTTATTGAAAAGTCCTGAGGAAATGATATAGGGGAAATGAAACTGACTCCTGACATCCAGTAAGAATGAGACCAACTAGCTCTTGGCTGATTTTGAGCTCCTGTGTGGATGTGGTATTTTGTTTGCTTTGTTGGGTGTTTGTTTGCTTGTTTTAAGGAAAGATGAATTGTTTTCTAGTGGAAAACCTGAGCTGGTTCCTGTTAGCATATTGTTATCTGAGTCACTGCTGCTTCTCTGTAGGTTTTATTGACTTCATCGTGGAACCTACCTTCACTGTGCTCACGGATATGACCGAGAAGATTGTGAGTCCATTAATTGACGAAAGCTCCCAGACTGGTGGGACAGGCCAGAGGCGATCAAGGTCAGTGGGGAAGGCTTGAAACTTGGTGGAGATGGAAATCTCTTGTTGGGGGTATGTGCAGTATCACAGTGAGCTCTACCTCCTTTACCTCTTACAGGGGACATGCCTACCTCCTTTTCTTCCAGAGGATTTGGGATGATAGTATCTATGTTCTCTAGGCTGGCCCATAGTAGGTGGTCCAAGGTCATAGCAGAGTGCCCCCATGCTCTGAAACCTTTGATCCCAGCAGCACTGACTATTATGCTTCTCCTGCTGTACGCAGTCAGCCCACATTCCTGATTCTCTAGATAATCAGGTTTAGGATCAGGTTTCTTACAAGAAATGAGGCTGACTATCATCTCTTAAGTTTAGGACAAAAGTGGAGTGCGGATTTTTAAAAATATATAACAAAACCCCTCAAATTTAAGTATTTTCAAGTGCCCTGGGTTATAGCATAAAGCATAAGGCTATCAGAGTAGAGGTCATGCTAAACACCCTGTGGTCAGGCTTAAAATCCTGACCCCATTGCTTATTAACCCTTGTAGCCTCTGACAGGTCAGCTCCGTGCCCTAGAGTCATTCCCTGTGTCTGCGATATAAACATGGACAAAGTCAACTCTAATGCAGGGTTTGTTCATTTTATACTTCCAGGTTGTAGTCTTGTATTGTGGGGAAGTCAAGGCAGGAACTTGATGTAGCTAGTCATATCCATACTCAAGAGCAAGGAGAATCAGTGCATGTATGTTTACTCCAGTTCACTTTTGCCTTTTGATACAGTCCAGGACCCAAGCCTACGGAACTCCCAAACTGGGCTCCATCTTCCCACATCAATCAATGTAATCAAAACCATCTCCCACATACATGTCCATAAACAAGCAGACTGATGAACTTGACCTAGATAACTCCTTGGTGAGACTCTTTTCCCAGTTGATAGAACACACTGCACATCATTATTAGGGCTCCAAATAGGATCATAAACTAGCCCCTGCAGGAAACTGTCATTTTCAGTGTAGAATGTTCAGGACAAAAGGCATGTAGCATACCAGACAACTTAATAAGTCATAAAGCATTAAATTTCACACTTTTAATGCGCAAAAGGACTAGCCACATGAAACATCACTTGTAAGAGATGCTGAGAATTTTGGATGCTGCTGCTTGTAGTTGCCTCTGGTGAGAGCTATTTGATAACATGGTTTGTGTCTATGTCAGGCAGCCAGAGAGCTCCTCTCACTTGTCAATTTCTCTAATAAAGGGAGAAGAGAACATACACTGGATTTCTGTATTGATTTTTCAAGAAGTACTACAACTGTACAGTGCCAACCTGTAAATGCATTGGAAAGGAAAACAGAAAAAAATTTTAATATCCCTGCATTTAATTTATCCACAGTAATAACCTCCATGCAAAAATTACAGATTTTCAGGAGCAAAAGTGTGCTTTTGACTGTAATAGTCCAACACCTAAGTTTATTACATATCTTTATATGGTTTGTGTGGAGATACCATAAATTAATACTAGTTGCTAGATGAACAATTAAACTAACTAAGGATGCTTAAGATGAATGAACCTACAATGAATCTGTACTGAAGAGGCTAAAATTGAGGACAGAAGCCCCTGATAAATTCATATACTTTCTTAGTTCTTCAAGCACTGGCTAAAATGAACACTAGTAATTCTTCATTACCATTCACTGGATCTTATACATGGTGGGAACTTGTATAGCTACTTAGGAATATACAATACTTCATTAGGAATATACAATACTTCATCAGAAGAATGCTACTCTATTGATATTTCTAACATGCCCCATGTTTAAAGCACAAAGTAGAATTCATTTCAAGTTAGATCCTTGGTGTTGTTCCATGCGCGGCTCATGACAGACCACACCAGGCCAAATGGTTCCACGTGAGGTTTATTTTAGGAGATAAAGGCAAAGGTGATGGCAAGAAGAGGGGGGAAGAGAGAGAGAGAGATCAGGGTTGGGGGATCTGTCTATTTATATGGATAGTGATGTAGCCTCTCGCAGGTAAAGGTGGGAGGTGAGCCAAGTGGATTCTGGGAATGTGTGGCAGTTGCCTTGGCAACGGATATGGGGTTCGCCTAGATGTGATGTCGCTGGGTTCAGAGCTGATCCTCATACCAACATTCGGTATTGTCTAATCATCTACCATCCCTAAAAAGCATAGGAGAATCATCACTTTTTATGACTCTAGGGAATTGAGATTAGAGGAATTCTAAAGGCCAAAGAAATGGCTCAGTAGGTAAAGGGACTCGTCATCAAGCCTGGTGATCCAAATTTGATCCCCAGGACACACATGATCAAAGAAGAAGACACCTCCTGGATATTGTCCTCTGACTTCCACATGTGTGCTCTGGCATATGCAGATAGAGAGATAGGTAGATAGATAGATAGTTAGATAGATAGATAGATAGATAGATAGATAGATAGATAGATAGATGATGGATGGATGGATGGATAGATAGATAGATGATACATAGATACATAGATAGATAGTAATAACTGTAACATTAGAGGGACCTTGAGTCCGGGAGGAGAGTAAATTGGAGAACAAGTATCAGTTTGCTGACTGGTTTGAAAAAGCGGTCAGTGTGATTGCAGATTGATCAAATCAATGTATCCTGAAGCAAATAAAACTCCAGGTTTAAATCCTTTCACTTCAGAAAACAAAACAGGTCACATAAATGCCAGCAGATTCTAGTTACCAGAAAAAAAAAAAAACAGGCAGCATAGAAGCAAGTAAGGAATACTGTAACACATGAATATGCAGTGTAGGTTGTTTTTTTTTTCCTGCTAAAGCTCTGAATTTCATATTTGTATTATATGTGAAACAGTATCTCTACAATCCCCAGGGCCAGGGAGTTTCATGCTGATAACTCAGCAAATCCACTACGCATTCTGTGATTCTGTGGCCTCTCTCACTGCTTGCATGCAGGCGTGCTGCAGACGCTGACACTAACACTCATCTTTGCCGTGATTTCTTTTGTTCCCCAGTTTGAACAGCATCAACTCATCAGATGCAAAGAGGTCAGGTGTCAAGAGTTCTGGGTCAGAAGGAAGTGCTCCCATCAACAATTCTGTCATCCCTGTTGACTATAAGAGTTTTAAAGCCACTTGGACCGAGGTGGTGCAGATCAATCGGGAGCGATGGCGAGCCAAGGTACCCAAAGGTAATGTGCTCTACAGGAAGGATCTTTTCCAATTATCTACACAAACTCGGTGCTCACTGGCAAAGCAAGCAGCTGTTTTCTATGATCTATGGGCCTTTTAAGTATGGCACAATCCTCCAGGGTCGGGATGCTGAATGCTGAATCCTCCCAAGTGACAATTCTCATTCTCGTGAACACTGAGTGCGTGGCAGGATCTGACTGGCCTCTAAGTCAGTTCTCCCTTTCTGCAACACACCTATGGCCTCTTTTTCCAGTGTAGAATTCTACAGGGACTGGGGTTGGTACTTCTTGGTCTCTGCTAGGCTACTTTGTTTTATATTTCATGTTATCTGCCACAACTATGAAACCTTTCTGCCCTCCTGTAGCTTGGTAAAGCCTGGTCAATAGCTACTGTCTGCTGTGGTAGAGCATGAGAAGTTTTCTTCTTCCAGGAACATCCTGTCATATGAATGGTTTTCCTCTACTCATTTCTCCAACCATGGAACTGACTCATCAGGTTTTTGTTTAGTTTTGCTTTAATTGTTGTTTGGTTTGGTTTGGTTTGGTTTGGTTTGGGGGAAGTGATAATAACTTGTAAGTAAACTAGTTTTCTGAAGCCAATCACATCAAAGTTTAGACCAGAAAGCTATGATTATTGCTATTATGCAAAGAAAAATATAAAATTTCATGCTTTGGGGGCTTTAGTTCATATATATTCACATGTTTGTTTTTATTACTGAGCATGATTGACACATACAAGACATCACACTGTTTAGGTGGAGAGGCACATGCATACAGGGGCACAATCCTGAATAACATGAATCTATGATGCCAGATCTCAGGGAGGCTCAAAGATTTAAATTGGTTCTTGATGTTCAGTGATGGGGCTGATGGCAGTGAACCTTGCAGAGGTGAGCCTTCAATAGCAGCCAGTGTCTCCTGTCACCTGTTGTGTGCCGTCCACTTTCTATATTCCATGCCCAGTGCCAAAAGATATGGTGGATACCCCGATCCTCTGGGTCCATAGGAAGGGGCTCTTATGTTAGACTTTGATACAATGGATGAGTAAGAATTCAGTTAAGACCTTATACATATCAATATCCCTGAACCCTAAACCCTCAGTGCAGCCAAGATTCTTGAGACTTTGTCCTCAAACAACACCAGCTCTGTTACTCTGCCTGCATCAGCACATGTGGAAAGAAGGTAGGATGGTCTATGCTTTGGGATATATTCTGTTCCTATAACAAAATATTTGATATTCATTAGTTTTACAAAGAATCAAGAGACTAGTGTTGCCATCTAGTCTGCTTGCTTCATGGCAGATGGTGTCACATGAAGAGTCAGAGCCAGTGTGCAAATTTGAATCTCTATCCCTGTAATCCCACTAGCATCATTGTGGAGTTCCTAACCTTGAGATCCAGCCCAGGCCTTGTTACATCCCAGAGCTCCCACTCCCAACCAACATTTAAATTCAAGGATTGAGGTTTTGATGAATGAAAGATAGCTAGGGGACAGCTCTAAGTCCTAGAATTAGAATGGTGGATTCTGCTGTCCCCACACTGGATAGGTAGAAGCATCTAGAAGCTGGACTATTTCAAAGGCCAGACACTGACTTGCCATCAAAATCCTGAAAAAAAATCATGTAAGGCAAGGACTTTAAATTTATAGTATTCTTAGGGCATAATTAGAACATTATCTTTTGGGGACAGATGTTATACCCTGAGCTATGGAGGAAGCCAACACCTGTTCTATACTTTAATTTTAAGCACTGAGGGTCTATTCAAAAGCTTCAAGCATTTAAATTCTCTGAGTTGGCAAGCTATTGCACCATTGGAAGAACATTCTCCCATGATCATTACACCTGAACATCCAATTTCTGACAACACACAATTTAAGGAGGTCATTCAAAATCATTTGTTTGCAATTATCTTGGTTACTGAAATTATCTTATCTAGGGAAACATTAGATAGCTTCTTTTCCAAAGAATAACTGGTCCTTTCAAAAGGACAGATGAACACCCCATCATTTTAAAATGCAGGAGCTTTGCAGGTAGAGATACAGAAACTATTTTAAGCAGCATGAAAGGACTTGTCCCTAACCCTGCTTGGGGTCTTTGGGAAGACATCTTGTAGGTAGAATTTGAAGGACACTGGGATTTGCTTGAGGATATTAGAAATAGGAAAAGGAAGAGTAAAGAAGATACTCACATAGTAATGCCCTTATAAAGAAAGCCTTCATGGTGGTATGTGTTTGTGATCTCAGTGATGGGGAGCAGAGATTGCTCACTTGGGCTCACTGCCTGGTGAGCCTCACCCACATGAAGATCTGTATGTAGGTCAGTGAGAGACCCTGTCTTGGGGTAGAGGTAGGTAGTACTTGAGGAAAACACACACATTTACAAACACCCAGATGCATACACACATACAAAAGAAAGATGAAAATATGTTCATGCAAGTAAAAGGAGCAAGGTCGTGTCCCTAGGTTATAGATATTTAGGGGGATGTAGCTTAGGTATGGGGACCACATTTAGTTAGCAAGGAAATGGAGAACTGAATCCCAGTTTGCACGGTCTCATTCTCGAAGGTTTTTTGAGACTCCATTCTGGACATGGACACTCAAAATAACATCTCAGAGTTAGCACCAAGAACTGAAGAATGTGCAGAGAGCACTAAGGAGCATATCTGGCCTAGTTTGTGTTCGGTAAGATGGAGCTGCTATTTAAATACATTACAGGGGAGGGTTGGCCATGTGCAGCAGGGTTAAAATACTGACTGGGACAGTGTCAACTCAATTCAGCTCACACTTTAACCCCCGAGTTGTGCTGTTAATGGACCGACTGATGTAAAGAAGTTTGGTTGCAGTTACATTGGTAGTGGTCAGTCTGAGTAAATGATCCCTGACTGATTTCCTCATTGACATTTTTTTTTTTTTTTAAATCCCGAAGGACTCTGATTTTGAGATAAGCTGCCTTCCGTGGGCCTTTGAACACATGTTGTTAGGAAATGGGATAAAGTTTAGGTGATGTTATCCAACCTGAATTACAAAGTAATGTAGACCAGAATTCTCATTTGTTAGGAAAGAGTTAACATTTTGAATAATCTTCTGAGTCAGTTATCATTTCTCTAAATTTTCCCTCTCAGATGCAAGAACAGTGAAACTGTCTATTTCTCTCCTTTAGGATATCCACCTTGTTATTGTTGAGTCTTCATAATATTTACATGTTAAGGAAAATATTTTACTTGTAAAGTATCCTATACTTTCTACCTAGCCCCAGTCTGTCATGTTTCATTGACTTTGCTGAGTCAATATTATACCACCTCCGTCTTCTCTCCCATAGTTTCTGTCCTAGACAGCTAGTCTCAATAAACATGATAACATATCACATAGGACATATAGTGAGAATCCCTGCACTTGTTGAGAAATTTATTTTTGCTTGTTCATCAGCACTTGACTTTTGTTGAATTCTATTACATTCCCAGCCTGGTAATTAGAAGAACTGTGTTGTTTCTCATCCAGCTTAGCTCTGCACATTTAAAAAAAATTTAAATGTACTTTTGTAGATGAGTGTTTTGCCTGTATATATGTATGTACACCATGTGCATCCCTGGTGCCCTCAAAGATCAGAAGAGAGGGCCAGATCGCTTCAAACTGGAGTTAGGGTGAGTTATAGGCCAACATGTGGTCTTAGGTGAGAGAAGGAAGTGCTTACAACTCCTGAGCCAGCTTTCCAGCCCAGCACATTATTTTTAAATGCTTGCCTCCATTTTATCTTTAACATTTCTTTCTTTTTTTACAAAAAATAAGCTTTGCACTTTTATTATGTATCATTGACACATTTACTTCAATTTGGATTTTTAAAACTGATTGAAAATTTCTACCAGTTAGTGTACTTAGGTAGCTTCTATAAGAACACTTATGTACTCTTAGCCACGCCCTTAGTGCCCTCCTTGTTTCTGTATGAAGTGTAATTGAGAGATTATATACATACTTATATTGGCCGGTTCCATTCCTATCTCTTATCTCATTTCATATTACCATCCTCTCTCCTCCATCTCTTTCTCTCCTGTTTGCATCAGCAGTTCACAGTAAATTAAGGGATAAGTAGCCTAGTGGCATTTCTGCTAACAAATTTATAGGGTTATTACTTAGACAAGTTGAAGCAAGATGAATAAAGACTCAAGTGCATTTTTATGACTGTTTAGACATCCAATGTGAGAAACCCCAGATTGTATGTGAGAAGTACAATTTACAGATCCCAAGGGCTCTGCCGTACCCTATTCTTCAGCTGCTTTCCACTGGTTATTTTATTAATGAGTCACGTCAACCAATGACGGCCCAACTTGCAACCCATTCCATGGGACAGAGCCAACCCCTGACACTGTTAATGATACTCTGCTATGCTTGGAAACAGGAGCCTAGCATAACTGTCCTCTAAGAGGCTTTATCCAGCAACTGATGGAACAAGATGCAGAGACACACAGCCAGACATTAGGCAGAACTTGGGAAACTTGTGGAAGAGTGGGAAGGAAAGATCAAGGGAGCCAGAGGGACCAAGGATACAACAAAAAGATCTACAGAGTCAACTAACCTGGGCCCATGGGGGCTCACAGAGACTGAACCACCAACCAAAGAGCATTCATGGGCTGGACCTAGGACCTCACATATATGTAGGAGATGTAAACCTTGGTCTTCATGTGGTTCCTCTAACAATTAAAGCAGGGGCTTTCTTTTTGACTCTGTTACCACTCTTTGGATCCCTTTCCCCCAGTTGGGCTGCCTTGTCTGGTCTCAGTGGGAGAGAATGTGCCGAGTACAGAGTGGGTTGGTACCCAAAATGGGGGGGTGGGGAGTTTCCCTTTATCAAAGAATAAGGGAAAGGGGGATGGAGGAGGGAGTATGTAAGGCAGGGACTCAGGGAGAAGAGGGAGAGGACTGTGGTTGGGATATTAAGTGAATAACTTAATTAATTAAGAAAAAAAGGAAAAGAAAACAGACCATAAAGTTTACAGCCTATTAGTCAAGAAGCCTTGGGATGATGCTGAGGTGTCTAGCTCTAAGACCCAACAAATAACGTTTCTGTACCCATGTCACAACCACTGGAACATGTGGGTCTGTGTAGATTATCAGTGTCTCACCAACTTCCCCAACTAGAATGGTAGTATCTATACTAATAAATTCATCCTCTGAATATAAAGGAGTTTGGCTGCAAATGGAGAGAAACCAACCACATGGAGATGTCAATTTAGTCTTATATGTGCTCGCAAGAGTCTCTCTATCTTCATGAGTATCTCTGTGTACTCTATGGCTGATGATGCCTACACAAATCACAGGCAGAAGGTGATTAGACAAGCCAAAGAGCGTTGTGGAGTCATGGCTAGAATTACTAGAAGATTGTTGCAGAGAAGAAACTCACACTGTGGGCCAGGCTCATATCTGATTTGATCATGATGTAATAAGAGCTACCGTTTATGAACTTAAAATAACTTTTGCATGTCAGCTGCACTTGAGCAAAATCAGATTTGCCTCCCAAATGCCTTCTCCCCATTCTCAGTTGTTTTCCTACATCTGTGGAAAATTGGTCTGACTCAGTTGTCAAATGAGTTTTTCTTTCTTAGATAATATTTTACGGTCTTCCATAGTAAACTACAATTAAACAGCTTCAGATTTTATTTAAATGATTTTTCAGCTCGGAGATATTTTGAGTGTTGGAAGTTTTCCACATATTCAGTAATGAGTCTGTGAAGGTGGCCATAGCTAATCTTCTCTGACAGTGCATTCTAAATATGAATGACTCTGCATCTCCTTGATTCTGTTTACCTCTGTCTTCTTTGTTTATTACAAGTTATCTTTTAAATACAACAAAATAAAATACAATATGATAAAATGAAAACTATCACATTGGGGTTGGACAAAACAAACGGAAGGAGAAGAGCCCAAGGGAAGGCACAAGCATCAGAGACATACCTGTTTTCACATTCAGGAGTTCCATAAAACCACTAAGCTATAAGTCATAATAGAGATACAGAGAACCTGGGGCAGACCTGTGCAGGGAACGTGCATGCTGCCCTAGTCCCTGTGAGTTTGTATGAGCTTTGCTCATGTTGGTTTGGAGTTCCTTGTTTTCTTGGTGTTCTACATCCCCTCTGGCCCTTACACTCTTTCTGTCTCCTCTTCAGCTTGGTTTCCTGAGCCCCAAGAGAAGGAATTTGATGGAGATATCCAATTTAGGGCTGAGTGTTCCAAGGTCTCTCTCTGTATGGATAATGTCTGGCTCTCTATTGTTCCCATCTGCTGTAGAAGGAAGCTTCTCTAATGATGCCAAGGCACTGATCTATGACCATACTAAAAAAGAAAAACAGTCATCTTTTTCTTTGCCTATATTTTAAGTTAAGGAAGCTAATGTTTACCTATTATTCCTTTTAGAATAGGAGCAGAGAGTCTTTATGCTTTTGGGTTTTATAAGTCTTAGGTGCTGGGTTACATTGGTAGTTCATGTAAATTGTATACATGGATGATATCTCACAGCTTCATCAAGCTTCAGCAGGATGTGATGGGTGCTGTACACCATGCCAAGCAATGATGGACATGACATTTAGCTCTCTCCTCAAAGCACCTAAAGATATAAGGAAGCCTTAGTGAATGCCCCAGGAGCCTCATCTGCTTGGCAACCTATTGGGAATGTGAACCCACCATCTTTTAAAGGGTGTTCTTTCACTTTTTAGTTTACATTTCCGTGAAAGTCAGAAGACGTTATTATCCTGCATATGGATATGACGGTTATTTGTACAGAAATGTTTTTATATCCTTTCATTGTAAATTGTAAATACATCTTGTTGAGAAGAATGTCATAACACACTGAGTGGTAAATATTTAGACTTTACATCAGAGCTTCTTAGTACTTGCTGTGTGCCAAAAATAAAGACTTGAGATATCCTATGCTATGCTATGCTATGCTATGCTATGCTATGCTATGCTATGCTATGCTATCCTATCCTATCCTATGCTATCCTATGCTATCCTATGCTATCCTATGCTATCCTATGCTATCCTATGCTATCCTATGCTATCCTATGCTATCCTATGCTATCGTATGCTATCCTATGCTATCCTTCTTTTAGAATCTGATTTACTTTGTTTGAGATGAGGCCAGTCATTGACTTGGTTGAAAGAATGAATGAGTTTGGAAATGGATGGGGTTGGCGGATCAATGAAATGATAAATAAAAATCTCATGACATGTTAAAGATGACACCAGTAATAAACAAGTACAAGGACCCACAAGTAAAAATAAAGCCAGGCATCGTGAACATCTGTAGAATACTTATAGAGCTAAGTGAACCCAACCTGAGCCCGACCAGGACATGGAGCACTTTAGCAGCTAACACAAAAGGAAATACCAGATACATAGGCTCTCTGGTGTCCATTAGATTAAAGCAATCATCCTGTATGGAAACAGCTCAGTGAATGACAATAACTCCAAGGGAACACAGGGAGACCCTGGTAGTGAGAGGTAAGAAGCTTTTCACTCATTTAGAGAAAAATGCAATAATGCTTTTCACAGAGGAGCCGAAAGATGTCAGGAGTGTCTTTAGCATGAGCTCTGTGGGGTGAGTCCCTAGCACTTACGGGGTATTTGGCTATGTGAGGGGCCTTTCATATATGCTTTTCTTTTCAGTTGAGACCTACCATTTGTCCTCCGGCCTCCATTATATGATCTTTGCCTGTCTTTGGTTATTTGAACATTTTATCTGTGATTACCTCCTTGTCAAATCTCCTTTTGGGGACCAGTTCAATATCTAGAAACATAACAAGCATGTTCCTCTCACATCCTTCACACTGTCTAGATTTTTTGATAAATGATGCAGCTTTTACAGATTATTTCTTGTTCTACTTCTAATCACTCAGGACTTGGTCAAATGCTATCTTCCCAAGAAAGCCTTCTTTACCCTTTTGTCTAAAGCCACCTCTTGCCCTGAACCATCCTGTCCTGTTGTTTTGTATTCAATTCTTGCGATATACTTTCAACATCCAAAATTATCTTAGCCATTTTTTAAATTAATTATAATCTTCACCATACTTCTGCCATGCTTGTTGCCATATCCCCAGTATCAAAAATTGTTCCTGACGATATAGCTGCTCAATAATAAATACCAGCTGAGTGAATGAGCCAATCTTTTCATAAATACTTGACCTATGCACTTATACTGTATTTCATTAACTAGACAGTCAATCAGTAACGTTAGAAAGAATATAGATACTCAGTGAAAGAAAGTACCCAGAGTGAGTACATGGCCAAACTGAAGGTCTTCTCTATTCCTGAGGACAGTTAAGTACCTCAGACTGGGGCTTGCCTTTAGCTTTCTGAGATTTAACCCACCTCTTCCTAGTTCTAACTTCACAAACTGGCTTGAGTTTGTATTCTTCTAATGATGGTTATTTTTCTCCAACTTTTTATTTCATAGTCAGTTGTCAAGGTTTCTGCTGCAAGTGTTAAGCAAGGCTCATAAAATGCTGTACTTTTTCACTTTATGTTATTTAGTTTTGTTTTCTTTTATTACAGTGGCTGGAGAGAGTCTGATCATGTCTCTCATCCTTCATTAAAATGTAACTGTAAAATAGGGTCATACGGCAATTTTTAAGGGTGAACAGAAGCAAGCTTTAAAGACTGCTAACACAGTGCGTGGCATGAGAACACATTCACTAGAGGCTATCAGCAGTAAGAACAGCAGTGTGTGTGCCATCACTGTTACATTCCCAGTATTATGTTCTCCAGTCCCCTCCTCTAACTCAGTGCTTTTAGAAGTAGCCTATCTTACTGCTATCCTAAGCACACATGTAAATCTGACTTGAATTCACCAAGAAGCTATCCAACACTCTCAGTAAAGCCCTTAGGACCTTTCAGTGTACTGGCTTTCGTGAACATTGCTGTTGATTATTTTTCCAAAATGGTAGTTTTCCTAATGGTTGATCTCTCTCTCTCTCTGCCTTTTCTCATTGCTGTGGATGCAGAAGAGAAAGCCAAAAAGGAAGCTGAAGAGAAGGCTCGCCTGGCTGCTGAGGAAAAGCAAAAGGAAATGGAAGCCAAAAGCCAAGCTGAACAAGGCACAACCGGCAAAGCTGAGAAAAAGACATCAGGAGAAGCAAAAGGCCAAGCCAACGCAACACGCAAGGGTGACAACCCTCGTGGGAAGAACTCCAAAGGCGACAAGGCAGGCGAAAAGCAGCAGAATGGTGAGGAGGGGCTGCCTGCAAAAGGCTCTCTTTGGAGTGATAATGATGTGACAAACAGAAACTGGTGTCACTTTCCCTCTCCTGGCAGTTGACGTGGTTCCTGTTCCTCCAGAGATAAAGTCAGGATCTCATCCAATAGCCACCCGCTTAGCTCTGCCTTTCTAAATCAGTACACATCTTTCTGGTCCTTCTCTGATGCCCTGGATACTCTGGATGATCCAAATGATGTAAATTCCAATTAACTAGTACAGCACAGCCTGGATTCCTATACTCATTGCCAAACCACCCAAATAAAGATTCCATCCCTCTACCCAGGCCACTCTCAGTGTGCAGGAGTCCTATTCCCAAAGTATGTATCTGTATATTGACATAGGCCTAAACACACACATTAGATGACCAGCCAGCCTGGTTTGCTGTAGATGAAGACTTCCTGGGATACAGATTTCCAGTTCTAAATTCAAACTGGCCCAAGTAAACTGAGGGCAGTGAGACACCATGATTTTCAGACAATCGATGAGTTCTTATATGTAATGAAGTGAATATTTATTAACAACTTTGTATCGACCTCTATATTAGGTCTAGAGGATTTAGGAATGGAAAGATTATGGGAAGTCTGTGTTGTTATAGGGATATAGTCACCCTCAAATGTAATTTTAAAGGAAGGTGCACATGATGCAGAGATGAGGGAGGGCAGAGAAGCAGATAAAATGCCCCAGAGTCCTACATAAAGGAAGACATTGTTGTTGGTAGTTGAGGTAGTTGGATGAGGCAAGTGGCTGAGGTTTCTTTGGAAGGAGGTGGTTTCTGGTTTTTCCGAGTTTTAGTTTGCGGGGAAAAGGCCTTGAAGCCAGAAGGATTAAGATAGTACCAAGACATAGAATCAGCCGCCTTGTCTACAGATGGGCAGGATGTTCACTTCCTGCAGTTAGCAAATGCCAGACTGTGACTATATAACAAGACACCTTTGCAAACAGATCTAGACTCAAGTCAACAACTTTCGATTTACTCTTCTTGGAGACCTTAGACTACTTTACCTATTAATCTCTGTAAAGAATACATATAAAACCTGTTCAGAGCTTCATTCTCTTGTGAGATTTCAGTGATTACGGTAGTCGAGACATTGAGAGACGCTCCCTTAGAGCGCAAGGTTGATGGTACCTGAGGAACACCCAAGGTCGATCTCTGGCCTCCACAGGTATGCACACATATGTGCATCCATTCACCTACATGTATATACACATATACACAGGTACACATACAAATTCTAACATTGTAAACGTAGTTCCATGTTACAGATAGAAAAATTGAGACTCAGAATTCAAAGACTTAAGCAACTGCCAAGTAGAGATCCTTGGCTTCTGGGGATCTGCATTTTCTGCTTCATAGCTAGCTTATACTATCTGTCATGCCCAGTGCTGCTAGGAAGAGGAGGGGATCAGAGAAATGCGGAGCCCTGTCTGCTGTCTAGGCAACAGGGATGGTACATGCTTTCTGTAATGGGCCAGATGGTAAATCTTTTGTACCTCACAGCCTATGTATTTCTATCACAGCTCTTCAATAGCTAAGGAGAGTTCATGAACAAATAAGTGAGGCTATAGTCCACTGGGACTTTATTTTTGGAAATTGAAGTTTAAACATGATATGATGTTCATGTCACATGCTTATTTTGAATCAGCCCTTTGTAGATATAAAAGTCATTCTTAGTGTGTTTATACAAAACTGGGCAGTGGAGTCATGCCAGCCCTTGGTATAATTGGCAAGAGGGGCCAATGAGTACAAACAAGATGAATACAATCATCCCTCTCCCATGTCCACACCACAATCCCTACCCCTGTCAACAGGTTAAAAACTCTATGAAAATTTGGAGAAAAGGCAGGACATTAATTTACATTTAGCTTGAGGAAATAATTTGAAAGACACAAATTAGGACCCCGAACCTTGCTTGGTGCCATAGTCATGTTGCAAAGTGGGAGGCAGTCTATAATTTTCCTTTAAAATTAAGTTTGGAATGAGAAGTGTAGAAAGGAATTAATTTAGAGCAATAATAAGAATGGCGGAGGGTAGTAGAGGATGTGGTTGCAGCAGCCTAATTAAGATGATTTAGAGCTTCCCAGAAGTTGTCTTCATCCTGTGTGTGGAGCACCAGGTTGCTACTGTTCCATGTACAGCCCATGAGAAGTCACCTAATGGGTTCTTTTCCAGGATTTCTAGCAAACAGGCATGAGCCACTGTCTCTCCTATGTGGACCACAAAAGTATTTTCTAGGTTAGGGCTGAAGGATATTGGTTATCCTTCAACCCCCTAGGTGATTAAAGGAGTTGCTAAGCCTTGGTGTCCACTAAGGCAACTTCTCTGTGAGCCTCATCAATCCAGCTAAGTCAGGCTATGTGCTACTTGCCTGTCATCTTCACAGACATCTGCCTCAGAGATTGCTAAACCTCTGGCTCAGAACAATGCAGCAGGCCCCATACTAGGAGTGTGAAACTTCACATGGGGACAATGGACTGTGGAAACCTTCCAGGGCTTGAGACACTCAGTCCATCTCTAATGTTCTTAAACAGGGAAAGGGACTCTAAAGGAACTCTTTTTGATTCACTGGGGTTAAGAGGATACTAATCATGTCCTCCAGCTAAATCAATCCTGAGAAGATCCTAAACACCCCTTTTTAATCCTTCTAGCCAATCTGTTTATCCCATTTCAGTATTAAGACTTAAGGCAAACCTTACAAGTTAGCTCTAAGAGGTGGATAACCAGATTGTCCCATAACTTGCTGACTCATGGTTTGGAGAATACAGTAGTGCTTAAATTTCTATTTAAAGTACTTGATTCATACATATAACTGTAAAGCAATTTTCTAAATGAGAGATTTTGACTTATACAGATTGCCAGAAGGTCATGAGCATTATTCTTTGATTACAAACACTTTTATGTCTATTTCATAACAGCCAATTTTAACACATTTCTAAAATGTTTATAAATACCTACTTCTTTGGATGCTCTTAAAAATCATCTTGTTTTCTCTCATTTCCTCATCAATGCATTATATAAATTCTTCACTTATGCTTGCTCACATTTGTAAGAGTAGTCTTTTTGATTTTTGGAAATGATATTTTGTCGACCTCATTAATTAGGATAGCGCATATAGAGTCTGCTTAGGATAGTGAGCACAGTCTTTGAACAGTACACTACAGGTTACATTGAGCATCTACGTGGCTCAGGTCCATCTGTCCTTCGACCTATTTGTGAAGTAGACATTATTGGAGCTGGAGAGATGGCTCAGCAGGTAAGAGCACTGACTGCTCTTCTAGAGGTCCTGAGTTCAATTCCCAGAAACCACATGGTGGCTCACAACCAACTGTAATAGGATCTGATGCCCTCTTCTGGTGTGTCTGAAGATAGCTACAACGTACTCATATACAATTAAATAAATAAATAAACATTTTTTTATAGTAGTAGACATTATTATCCCCATTCTGCAAATAAAAATCCAAAACATAGCTTTTAGTTAATGTAATTACCTACCTGTTAATTAGAACTTTCATGTATTCCAGGTTTTTCCTCACTTCACAGCCTAACCAAAATAAATATACAAACAAACAAATAAATAAATGTGTTTCTTAGGAAAAAAACAGCACTTACTTAACTACAAGCCTGTTTGAGTGGATACTTTAATTTCAATTTCTGACTATAGTCCAATTTCCAGAACCAATCATGTGATCACGAAGATAATGCTATCAGGATGTGCAGTCCCTCATCCTCCATGCTGCACCAGGTTTTGTCCCAACACAATTTTAAATTTCTCTACCTCCCCAGATGCACCCATTCAGTTTGTCTTGCAGTCCCTCATCCTCCATGCTGCACCAGGTTTTGTCCCAACACAATTTTAAATTTCTCTACCTCCCCAGCTGCACACATTCAGTTTGTCATGCTTATTGTTTTCAGGTGACTTGAAAGACAGTAAAAATAAGGCAGACAAGAAGGATCACTCTAACACCGGAAATGAGTCAAAGAAAACAGATGGTAAGAATGTTGTTCTCACCACGATTTCTGTAGAGTGTGCGACTACTGCAAACTTGATAGCGTTGTGCCAGGAGGGAAGCAGAGCTGTTAATTGCTCCTCACATTCTGCCCTGAATGACACCTCATTGCATTTAAAGAGCTCTATCATCTCTCTGTAGTAAGCTCCAAATTCCCACTGTATCTTTTCCTCTCTAGCAATACTTTCTCATCACAAACACCCTCTGCGTGCCTCCTTTCCCCACCTGACATTCTTTATTGAAAACTTCATACAAACTTGGTTCTAGATTTGTTGATTGTTGTTCAGTAGACTAATGCACATTGTTAATATGTGAGCTTAGAACCATTGATGGTGCAACTAGAGGATGAAATATAAAGGGGACAGGTCTCTGTAACCAGGCTAGCTCCCAAATAATTGACACAGAAACCTGGTATTTTTATTAACAGGCTGCAAGCTTAATCTGAGCAGGTTCTGAGCTATTCTAAGCCTCTAAGATATTCACTTCCCAGCCACAGGCCCCAAGTTACTTACATTCAGTCTCTCCTTGGCTTGTTCTGCTGTAGCTGTCTGTCCTTATGGAGAACTTCCTTGGTGACCTTCCTCATGCCCAACCCCATGGTGACAGCCTTCTTCTTCTTCCTCTACCTGCCTTGTAGCCCTTCTTCTCCTGAGCGCTTACCTGCCTCATGGCCAACTCGTTCTTCCTTGCTTCCTCCTTCTGACCCTTGGCTGGGATCAGAAGTTCAGTCTTTCTATCTCCTCTGCCCAATCATTGGATGTTTGGATTTGTATTAAGCAATCAGAGATAACTAGGGAGCATTCTTTACACCATATTGATACAAAGATTTTTCAATATCCATGACAATGCCCATGTCCTGACAGTAACTAGATCTCAGGGCCAAGAAATCAGCATCTGAATATAATAGGCAACATGAATAGAATATGTTTAATGTTTTCAATTTCCACATTTTTTATCTTGAATAAGTTATTACATTTGGTAAAACTAAATATGAGAATCTGTTCAGTGTTGGGTTGGGAATCAAAATATATGTTTTTAGTGTCCAGTTTTCACTATCAACAACAAGTGCTGAAGACAGTGGCAATGTAGGATCAAATAGAATGAGCCTACAGTGTCATGAATGGGTCTGCAGTGCAATGTACATCATGAATGAGCTTGTAGTGTAGTGTAGAGCTGTGTCATGAATGAATGGGCCTGCAATGTCATCAATGGGCCTTCAGTGCTAGGAATAGGCCCACAGTACAAGTCATTTCATCAATGAGCCTGCGGAGTCATGAATGGGCATGTGATGTGAGGTATCTCATGGGTACATTGTCTTTCCCACTTGGATCTACTAGATGGAGATATCTAATTATACCAACTTCACTGTTTCACTTGTAACCCAGTCTCCTTCCTGATCACCCTTTCATTCATAGACATGATATTCAGATAACGTGAGCTTCTGTGAAATAGTTTCTGTGAAGGGTGTCATAGTTTGTTTGCATTTTGTCTCCCTGATGACATCCTATTTGATGACAGGTTGTTCTTTCAAGAACAAATGCTGGGCAATCAAATTGAGGAATAAGAAGACATTTGAGTGCAACAATAAATAGGAGTGGATTTGATGAAAACACTTTGTATACTTATACAAAATTCTCAAACAATAAATAAAAGTATACTTTAAAGAAAAAGAAGTTCAAGGTCACCCTTGGGTTTAGGACTCGCCTGGCTCTGCATGAGACACATTCTCAAAAAGTAAATGGAGGTTTGAGTGGTAGCCAAGGCCATTTGTTGCTCTTGCAGAGGACCAGGACTTAATTTGCAGCACCCACATGATAGCTCACAACCATATGCAATTCCAGTTTCAGGGATAAGACACCCTCTTCTGGCATCTTTAGGTACTGCAGTCATGAGGCACACATAGATGTTGGCAAAACAACCATACACATAAAGTAATAGAAATAAAAGTAAAAGTTGGGAAGCATGTCAACTCCTTTAGCTATAGCCACAATGACAACTGTTTTAGCTTTCATATGTGAAGTTGGTTATTAAACTGCTCCTTTTAAAAGCAATCAGAAAATTCACTTCAAGCGTCTTATCCTGTAATACCTAGGGAACTCAAACCTGGAATTTCTCACCAACTTGCTCATGCAACCAGAAACCACTTGATTTCTCCTTGAATAATTGTGACTAAGAAGTGAATTATGCAGAAATAAAATGCAATTTAAAATGAGGACTTCTCAGCTATACTAACTATGAGAAAGCTTGCTCAAATGCCAGAGGCTCTTTGTCAGGTGTTATTAGACCACGTCAAGCAGTCCACCCCAGAAATACTCTGTGGAGGAACAGTGTCTCTTGTAAACACAGCACTCAGTCCTGCACTTAACAATTGACCATGCTCCTCATCCGAGTCCTACAGCATAAGTCCCAGAATCAAATCAAGCCCCTAATTTTTAATATGGAAACTTGAACTTCATAGGAATTATTCATCATCATCATCATCATCATCATCATCTTCATCATCATCCTCACCCCTGAGGATCAAACCCAGGGCCTGTCTATTCTAGCCAAGAGCTCTAACAGTGGGATACCTCCCAATCCTCATAGTTGTACTTATAACCAGCATGATGCATTACATGTGCATTATGGGTTAAATTTGATTATCTTCATAAAGCCTTCTTATTTTAACCATGCCCTTAAACCTAATTGTTCACAAGGATTTAAAGAATTAAATTGATTGGCACAATGATTAATTTGATTTGATGTCACAAAGAACTGGTTGCAGTAAAGAATGACAAGCCCTGCCCTCTGTCCCTTGTATCCTACTATAACACCAACCTATAACTGCCTCGAGAGGGACTCAGTATGCCCATGTGCTTGTAAGCTTGTAGGAAGACAAGTTGAGTGTTTTGTACCCTTAGTCACTAATTCAGATCAGCAAGACTGAGAGCATTAAGCTTGGGAGAATTGATGCTATTTTCATTCAAAATCCTCACCAGGTCTAAAGCCACTTCTTGGTAGCATGAAGTGGAAAAGAATTTGGTGATTTTCGCTTACACTTTCCTTTTGGAAAATCAATGGAGAATCAATGGAAAGGAAATAAATAGACCAGTACCTAGGTCACCTTAAAATAGGGAAATGAGATTAGAACTACTTCTATTTTATGGATCTTATTGTATTTGAGAACTGGGGGGAGTGGGAGTTGATTGAACTTCTCAGTGATTTTCCTTGCATCCTCATTCCTGAGAACCCCTAGTGGCTGTAAAATGGACTATCCTGGTATCAGTCTCTACCTTTGGGTTGCATCTCCTATGAAGACTGAACCTGGGCCATCTTGTGTGTCTCACATCCTGATAACAAGTCTCCCCAGCAGCAGCCTTCTGCTCTCCTTTTTCAGACAGATGTGTGGCTATCTTCTTTTGTCTTTTTTGGTTGTTTTCCTCGTCCTTGGTCTTGATGAAACTTTGCTATCTTTAAGGCAGATGTTCTCAGATGATTTGATTCTCATGAGTTTTTCTCGACCATATTGTAACTAGCATAAATGTGTCTTCCGATGAAATGATGTGGAAAGTAGGCCAAAATGACAAAAGTTTGGGAACTCTTGCTGTTGTCTGACCTTTTCTGCCACAACCAAGGTGGTGCTGCAGCTGCAGGGACCTGGAGTTCCTTCTAATTACTTTAAAATTAGCAAATTAGTACTCACTAGCTTGAGTGCTCAGCTGATTTTCACTATCTGACTATCGTATGTTACACAAAGATAAACATATTCTGAGGTTATTTTCCACAAACAGCTAAGTCCATCTTTTGTTTATTTTTTTTAAACAGGAAGGAAGTATGCTTTCTTTTTCAGATGATAACACTATTTCTTATATTAAGAAAATATCTTGCTGTAGCTTTATATTTATGGAGAGAAAAAGTAGACTTATTTCTTTAATAAATGAATTGCTCTTGGTGTGAGAATCCAGCATCCTTATGGGTTGAGGGACCAAACATCTGGAGTGCTCTGGGTGCCAATTAAGATAAGTCGTCATGACAACACATGTTATGATTAAAATCCTAGTCCCTTAGCCATTTATCTATGGAAGCCCCTTTGACCTAATTAGACATACTGACAGTAAATGGAAGCTGTGCCCCAGCATGAGATATTTGTTTTTGAAAGCATTTTACAGTCTTGTTTTCTCAAGAACTTTAGCCAGTGCGTAAGCACACTCCAATGTCATTGAATGGAAAGAACTGCAATATTATTTGAGGTGCTTGCCATGCATCAGGACAATACTCCACTAACGAGACTCTCCTAGGAAGTGTTGCCTAAATAGTTTTGTTTGTATACCTCATAGTTGCTTCTTGATTTATTTTGGAATCTATTCTGTACGTTGACCAAATATTAAGAGTTGCTGTGGACTCAAGTATGCGCAGATCTGCTTTTGGGAAACCTATGGGCCAAGGAATGTGTCTGTGGGTGAGAAGTGGGTAGGTGGAGACTTGCAAAACCTCTTAGCTTATTTTAGCGATAGAATTCCCTCTTAGGATCAGGAAGCATGCGGCCAGCAATTATTCATGACTCTAGCACTGATGAGTCACGATGAATCAGACCCATCAGCTCTTTTTGAACTAACATGCACCACAAATCAATGCAATGTGAATATCATTTTAGGTTGAATCAGTGATGGATTATAAAACAGAAGGTTTGGAAGTTTATAACCACACTGTATATATGTGCTGTATAATTGAAGATTTAAAATAAATTGTGTTATAGGAAGGAAACTATCCAGTACCTGTGCATGTTTTTGTCCCAGCTACTTAGAACTTGGTCTCTTATCAAATAACTGTGCAGTGAAAATATCAAACAAAAGCCTATTGCATGTTTTTTGTTAAAGACAAAATTATTCTTTTCAAACAACTTTACCTTGTAATTACTGATATATAAACTTTTATTGTTTCATTTGATATTCTTGGCATTTCATTACACTCTTGATATATCATTATATTTGTTCAGGAACCTGG